AATTCAGGCGCCATGGAACTGGTGGTGAGTTTCCCATTTTTCTTCTGAAATTGCCTGTCTTAGAATCAAGATATTCTGAAAACCAGAACTGGGAACTAGGGCACAGAGTAAAAGCCAGAAGAAGCTACACGGTTTTGGCTCAAAGAATGAGAAAGGGAACTCCTAACACTCAGAGGAAATGGGAGCGATCTCCCATTTTTCTTTTTTCCCTTGGCTCCATACTTTTGTACCGATGCAATCCTGTAGTGGTGGCAGCAGCAGTGATAGTGGTATCAGTGCGTCTCAACAGGTACCTAAAATACCGAGGAAGGTAAAACTTCCTTTCCAGTTAGATGAGCTGAGATCCCAAGAGGGTGTGGTGAACCCCCATGGCTTTTTTCTCCGTGTGTTTCCGCTGCCTAACCCCAGACACATCCAGCCGAATGGGGTAATAAAAGCCCCAGTTTTTTGGCCAGGACCACAAGGGGAGGTTCAGGGAATCAAAAAGTACCAGGACCATCTCAGAGAGGGAGGAGCTTGGAAAAGATACCACAGAAAGTTTTGTATGAACTCCTAGGCTCATCCCAAAGCTGCACTTGTATGGATGTAATCCTGAACACTATACCAAAGGTATTAAGAATAGAACTAAAGGATAGACCATTACCCAGGTCCCAGACTGACTACCAGGTTGTATACACACAGGGCAGATCCAAGTAGTACTGTCAAGATTTTGAAAACAGATCTGATATTGAAACTGCAGTCCACAGAAGAATGAATTTGTAGCCTCAACACAACTGCAATAAATACCTGCTAAAAGATATACAACAAGATCCTTCATAGGATTTATAAGAAACCCAGAGTCTTTTAACATAATATTCAAAATGTCTAGGATACAATCCAAAACTATAAGGCATATGAAGAACCAGAAAAATCTTAACATTGGAAAAGATAATCAAGAGATGTCAATGCCAAGATGACACAGATATCTCATAAGGAGTCTAAAATAGCTATTATGAAAATACTCCAAGAGGAGTGAATACACTTGAAACAAAAGGAAAGACATAAAGTCTCAGCAAAGGTAACTACAGTAATCACTTAATTACATATGTGTATATCAAGGTCAGTATATCAAGACATCATGAAGAATACCTTAAAGATATCCTATTTTAAAAAGAAAGGAAAAAGAGAGTCATAGAAGACATAAAAGAAAATTTTAGAATTAAAAAATATAGTAAACAAAATTTAAAACTTACTGGATGGGCTCAGTAGCAGAAGGGAGATAGAAGAAAATTAATAAACTTGAAGATAGATCAGTAGGAATTATCTGTACAACAGAAAGAAAAAAGATTAGAGGAAAAAAGAACAAAGCCCCGGGGACATGTGGGACATAGCAAAAGGTCTAATATTTGTTTAATCAGTAGTCTCCAAAGAAGAAAAGAAAGAGTTTAGAGCAGAAAAAAAATTACTTGAGGGAAGTAACAGTGCTAAAAGTTTCCCAAGTTCAGTGAAAGATTTAAAACCTATATATTCAAGAAACTCAGAAAACCTTTACCAGAATGAACCCAAAGCATTACACACCCAGATATCCTAATTAAAATGCTGAAAAAAAACTAAAAGAAAAGAAAAAAAGGTTGAAACCAGTCAGACATTTCACATATACAGAACACCAATTTTTTTTTTTTTTTTTTTTTTT